TGGGCGTGGGAATGTGAGTGTTGTTCTGCTCTCCCCCCCCCCCCCGGGGGGGGGTGATTTCTCACTTTCTGTCTCCCTGTCTGTCTCTAATTTGTAATTTATTTTATTAAAAAGAGACAATCTCAGGCATTACTGTCTGTATACTGGGTTTAGGGTTTGGTTGATCGTTAGCAAACCACAGCTTCTGTTGTAAAATGGTGATATTTTATTTTTAATTTTTTAAAAATTATTTTATTTAACTTTACCTTTTTTTTTTTTTTTTGGAGAGGTTTTCGCTATAGGGCGCGTGCGCTTGCCAGACAGACAGAGACATAGAGACAGAAAGCAAGAAATCACCCCCCAGGGGGGATGGTCACGCCGCAATCCCTTCTCCTCCATTCTCCTCTCGGGATCTTGGGCACGCACGCACACGCGCCCGGCGTGAGATTTAAGCCACCGGGTCCGAGACGCGAACCGCGGTCGACTACATGGGAGTCCAGCGACATAGCCATTACGCTAACTGCTGGTTCCCCCTTTAACTTTACTTTTTATTTGACCAGAGAGGGAGAGTGAGAGAGCAAGAGCGAGAGAGACAGAGACAGAGAGACAGAGACAGAGAGAAAGAAAGAGAGAAACCAAGCCATCAGGTCTGGGACTTGAACTGCAGTTGGCCATGTGGGAGTCCAGGGTCCTTAACCACCATGCCACCTGCTGGCCCCAAATTGTGATATTTTAAAAAGCTTTTGCTCATTTAAAAGTTTCCTGCCACAGTGAACTGAAGGTGCGAAGTGGCTGAGTAGAGAACCTGTGGACGGAGTCCAATCCGTGTGGTCGTGGTAGACACCTGGCTGACGGCAACGTGCAGTGTCCGTTTGGACCTCAGCTCTTTGTCAGAGTACTTGCGTTATTCCCAGGCACACAGAGCCGGGAACTAAAATTGGGATTTACTTTATCAGGTGTGTGGAAAAGTGGAATTAATGCACGAGTTCACTTTGATGCCAACGTTTTTGAAATGCTAGTTTTTGTCCACATACACATCTCCTGTGGAATTTTTGAAGACTTCCTTGTATCATATTTAGCTACTTGGTAGAAGCTGTACATATTTTACTTCCATTTGTTTTTCACTCATGATAGCGTTTGCGTGCACAAGCGAGAGTGAAAGAGAAGTAGCGCCTCCCTCAGGGCTCTGGTCCATCTCCGCTCTTGTCCCAGCCTGTGGGTTCTCGGGCATCTATCTACCTGGCCTGCGTCAGGCTGATCAGGCTGGAGCCTCGAACTGCAGTCGCCTTGCGGGATTTGCCATCTCTTGACCAGTGTGTGCCCTGGATGCACTTACGTTTCATTTTCCCTGAACTTGTAAAAGTACCTGTGTATGTGATTGAGTTGCAAGACATGTGGATTTCCTAGTTTTACCTTGGTATATATTCAGTTGTTTTTTAAAAAATCGAAATATTTGTATGAACCGTTCGTATGAAATGTTTGTACTAAACATTTGCAATCTGTTTCTCTTCAGGTGTTGGTGGAATGAGCGTTGCATGTGTCTTGAAGAGAAAAGCAGTGCTTTGGCAGGACTCTTTCAGCCCCCACCTGAAACACCACCCTCAAGAACCAGCTAATCCCAACATGCCTGTTGTTTTGACATCTGGAACAGGGTCGCAAGCGCAGCCGCAGCCAGCTGCAAATCAGGCTCTCGCAGCTGGGACGCACTCCAGCCCTGTCCCAGGATCCATAGGAGTTGCAGGCCGCTCCCAAGACGACGCTATGGTGGATTACTTCTTTCAGAGGCAGCATGGTGAGCAGCTTGGGGGAGGAGGAAGTGGTGGAGGCGGCTATAACAATAGCAAACACCGATGGCCTACTGGGGATAACATTCATGCAGAGCATCAGGTAAACACAAGTTCCCTTCTCAGCTTTGAAACTAATCACTGTCCACTTAGAAATCTGCTTACAGTGAATGAATGTCTTTTAACAGTTTTAATTGCTCATTGGTTCAGTCTAAACTAGTCACTTGTTTTGAAGGATGGTCGTTAATTTATCATTGGTGCTGAATAAGGAATGACCAGTTCATTTAAAACCAGACTGTTTAATGTGCATGGTGCATCTCTAGAATGCTTTGTATTTTTAAAGTTTATTTATTTCCTTCATGAGTACGAGGAGAGGGGATAAGCCCTCTTGACAGAGTCCTCACTCTGATTGTCCCCCCCAGTGCTGGAGCCAGCTAGGGTCATTGGCACAGGCACGTAGTTTGTGTGTTCAGGAAGACCCTGGGCACGAACCTGGAGCCTCCTGTGTGGCTTCCAGCATCACCAGCACTGCCTTCTGCCTGTAGCCCTGCAGCTGAGCGGGCAGTACATCGGTCAGATCGCACGTTTTCCCATTGACAGATATGCCTGTAGGAACTGTTTGAGAGTTCATAGGACCCATATTTTAGAGTCTTTTCTGTTTGGTACAGGTTACTTTTTGTTTGTTTGTTTTAAAAAGAGACAGATTTTTGCTATAGGGCATGTGCGCTCTCAGGAGAGACAGAAAGAAAATGAGAAATCATCTTCCAGGGGTGATGACCATGCTGCGGTCCCTCCTCTGTTCTCTTCTAGGGATCCTGGGCATGCATACACTTGTGCCCAGAATGAGTTACAAGTCGCCAGTTCTGGGACTTGAACTCTGGTTGACTAAATGGGAGCCCAGTGATGTAACCATTATGCCATCTGGTCCTGTGACTTTATTTTTTTTAAGAGATATTTTTGAAATAGGGCACATGCGCACTCACTAGAGAGACAGAGAGACAGACAGAAAGTGAGAAATCACCCACTGGGGGATGCCATGCTGCAATCCTGTCACCTCCATTCTGCTCTCAGGATTTTGGACATGCGTGCACACGTGCCTAGCGATGAGTTTAAGTCACTGGATCTGGGACTCAACGGTGGTGGACTATGTGGGAGTCCAGTGACGTTACCATTATACCATCTGCTGGGCCTGACTTTTTTTTATTTTTTAAATTTTATTTCTTTATTACTTTCAAAGTTTGTTATAAAGGTATTTGCACTCACCAGAGAAAGAGAGAAAGCGGAAGCCTCCAGGGCCGAAACTCAAAGCGTGGCCAGCCGTGTGGGAGTTCAGTGTCTTAACAAACGTTATCTGCTGGCCATGCTGACTCTGGTTTTAAGGCGTCACAGTCTAGAGTAGTGGAATGCTGGTGATGGATCAGCTGTTGAAGTGAGACGTGTTTGATGGGGCCAGCAGTTAGCGTAATGGCTATGTCGCCGGACTCCCATGTAGTCGACCACAGTTCAAGTCCTGGACCCAGTGGCTTAAACTCAGTTGGGTGCGTGTGCGTGCGTGCCCAAGACCCTGACAGGAGAATGGAGGAGAAGGGATTGTGGCGTAACCATCTGCCTAGGGGGTGGTTTCTCGCTTTCTGTCTCTGTTTCTTTTTGAGGAACGGACACCCCCCGAGGAAAAAAAAAAAAAAAAAAAAAAAAAAGTGAGATGTATTTGAAATGGAACAGAGAGAATGGTGGTGGTTTTTAGGCCTTTTTCAGTTTTTGCTATAAGGCTCCTGTGCTCTCAGAAGAGAGACAAAGAGATAGAGACAGATGTATATGAGGGGAAAGTACAAAAAGTCACCTCCCTGGGTATGGCAATACCACAATCCCTTCTCCTCTATTTTCCTCTTGGAATTTTGGGTACACACACACACGCACCTACTGTGTTTTCTAAACAGCCAGGTTGGGGACACGAATTGTGCAGTCAGCCATGTGGGATCTAGCTGCCTTCACCACCATTCCATTGGCTGGCTTGGTTTTATTTTTTGTATGTGTGTGTGTGTATTTTAAGAAATTTGCCAGTGGGTGCACGTGTTGATGAGAAAGCAAGGGGGAGAGAGTGGGAGAGAGGAAAGGGAGAAGGCACTCTCAAATGGATATAGTTATGCCGCAGTCCCTTCTCATTCCTCTATCCTGTCAAGATGAAGCCATGGGGGCTGGATTCTGTAGTCAGCCATGTGAGATCCGCTCCTTCCACACAGCACCTGACGCTTGTGCAACACGACCAGCTTGAAAGAGGCAGAATCTGTCCTTTCAGTGGACAGAAGTGTTTGAGTCCATTGATCGCGAGTCTCCTGTTCACGGCACAGTCCTCAGTGTCAGTGCTGCTTCATTGGCACGTGTAGGTGAGGGGTGCTGAGAAGTATGAGGTGTCAGGAGCATCCTCCTTTGCTCATACAGGGTGTTTGCTCACTCTTTTTTAAAGAATTATTTAACTTTATTTATTATTATTTAATTTGAACAGAAAGAGTGAGAGAGAGAGAGAGAGAGAGAGAGAGAAAGCCACCGGGTCCGGACTCGAGCCATGGGGAGTCTGGCTCCTCAACCACCGTGCCACCTGCCAGCCCTGCTCTCTCTCTCTCATACCACTGAAGGCATGATGTTTATTTCCTGGTTGCTTGGAGTCTTGAAGGTGGGATCAGTCGTTCATCTCAATATTCTAGTACTTAGAATTTAGCATATAATAGAAGTTAATAAGAAATTGATTGGGCATATGAATTCCTAACCCTTTGACCTTTGAATAAAATTAGGAAAAAAGGACATGATCATTTAAAAAAAGCCTCAAATGTCAGCCCAAAATTCAGCTTGATAAGCAGCACGGTTGTTGAGTGGGGAGCAGCTTTTAGCCAGTGCCGCTGGGAAGATTGAGTCGGCCCAGACGGGAGCGGTAAAGGGCAAGGCTACTTGGGTAGCAGAGTGGATGTGAGTGGTGGGAGGAAGGTGTGGAACCGGGGCGTGCACAGGAGCTGTGACTAAGTAAGAGAGAAAATGAAGCGTAGAGGGCGGGAGCACAGAGGTCTGGCCTGGGACCGGACGCCTGAGTTTGGGGTATGCATACTGAGTTCCGGGTGGAAGCAGCCCGGGTGATACCTGAGGCAGCTGTGCAGGCAGTGCTCTGTGGGGCAGGGCTGGAAGGCTGTGAGTGCTGCCTTATTTGGCCAGATACTGTTTAAAGGTCAGGAATGTTATTTTTAAAGAATGGTTTTATTTTATTTAACTTTGTTTATTTATTTATTTTAATTTGACCAGAGAGGGACAGAATGAGACAGAGAGACAGTGAGAAAGCAAGCTGCCAGATCTGGTACGCAAACCGCAGTCAGCCATGTAGGAGTCCAGACCCTTAACCACCACGCCACCTCCCGGCCCTGATTTTATTTTAATTTACTATTATTATTTTAATTTGACCAGAGAGAGACAGAAAGAGAGGGAAAAGAAAGAGAAAGCAAGGTGCTAAGTCTGGACTTGAGTCATTGTTGGCCACGTGGGAGTCCAGTACCTTTTTTTTGGAGAGGTATTTGCTTTAGGGCATATGCGCTTGCGAGAAAGACGGAGAGAGACAGAGAAGAGACAGGAAGCGAGAAATCAGTCCGGGGGCGGGGGCTGGCCACGCCACAATCCCTTCTCCATACTCTTCTCAGGATCTTGGGCACGTACGCACACGTGCCTGGTGTGAGTTTAAGCCACTGGGTCCAGGACTCAAACCATGGTCAACTACATGGGAGTCCAGCGATATAGCCATTATGCTAACTGCTGTCCTCGGAGTCCAGTACTTTAACAAACATCATGTCCCCTGCTGGCCCCGGGAACATTGGTTTTTAAAATATGTAGTATGAACCTACCTTCCAGAGCTCTCCTCCCTTGTGTCAGAGTAATGCAGCCTAGACCAGTGGAAGTATCTTCAGAACTGGTACTAATCTCTGATTTTATTACGTAAAACAACACAATAGTGAAAGACAAAGTTTTCCCCATAAGATGAGAAAAAATAAAAGGATGTTTTCTCTCTCCGCTTCTGTTCAGCGCTGGAGGTTCTAGTTAGGGCAGTTGGACAGAGGACAGAAATGGATTAGAAAAGAAGTAAAGCTGTCTGTGGGCAGAAGGGGTGCTCCTGTCTACAGGTGCCCTGAGGGAAA